ACTATCAGCACGCAATTTTAGGAGGAAAGGATCACCCTCAGCAAGGATTGGTGCAAACCATCTTGAAAGTTGAAAGGTTACTCCATCCTTTTCAGGATGCGGCTCACTCCAGGATGAGGACTTGGTCTCTAGGACTTGGACATGGTTTCAACAAGAAAATGAAGTTACACAAAAACAGCCAAGTCAGAGTGCCTTTACACTAGGAGGACTTTGAGCTTGAGCTTGAGAGGGAGTGTTGGAAATAGGCATGTGATGATTGGACATCAGCACATGGGAGCAATCTCAACCACAAAGTAAACAGCAGGAAGCAAAAGGGCAATTTGCAATTTGCAAACCGCAAACCGCAAACCGCAAACCGCAAACCGCAGCCTTTTGCCTCCATTTGCCCCTTTCCCAGAAAAGTATATATAGCAGGCCATTTGGGTCTAATTTCTCTTTCCCCTCTCATGTACTACTTTACTTTTATGCAAGCAACATTGATTCATCTTCACAACAAGACAAGATCAGCATTAGTAACACACCATTACTATTGCCTAGGTACATCAAGTAACCAACCTTGGTGGATCTAGTTGTTACCTCACAACAATCTAGACGTCTAGATCGCTATTAGAAGGTAGCTATAGCAATCTAGTCATTAGATAACCTCACCTGAACATGTCAAGATACCTGAAACAAGCCACCAGCCACTTTACGTGAATTTAGCACAATGTCAAACGCAGAAGCCGGACTGAGTTGTCTATTGCAGTACTGGTGCTTTGCATTGATTTGTACTGGCTTGTACTGACTCTAAAACATCCTGTTTAGTCCTCTCAAGCTGCTGCCCATCCTCGAAAGCTGATTCTACAACTGGGAACGGGTGGGAAGAAGCCAACGGCCCCCAAAGGCTCTTTGAGCTCGAGCTCGAGCAGCAGCAGGCGTTTGAGTGGAGAGGAGGACAAGCTCAAGGACAAGAATGACGACGAGATCCCTGCCGAGTAAGTCATGCTCCTTGATGCAATCTTACCGCTCCGTACTTAACACTTCCTCATCTGTTCTTGCCTACTGAACACACAAACAGACACCTTACTGGGATTTCATCGTCGATGATGACCATGAAGACAAGTGGGCCCAGTTGTGGGAGTATACGTTCGAGAAAACGGTCGGAGACAGGGTGATTGGGTACAGGAACCCAAGGCTTTTGCCAGGCTGAAGAAGCTGTGGCAGGCTAGGGAGTACTAGACCGACCAGAGGTTGTACAAGCTCTGTTTGAAGAAGAGAGGGAGTGTCAACGGTAAGGGACCGGATCACTTCGAGGTATGTTCTTCTTCTGCTTCAGTGCAATGAGATAGATCTGCACCCAAAACTGTGACAATCAAGGAGCTCATTGCAAGAGATCAAACCATATTGACATCTGGTATTACATCAGGGAGATGTTGGACAATGGACATGCCTCCATCCACCATGTTGGAACCTGAGATCAGGCAGCAGATATACTTGTTAGAAATAGGCATGTGACGATTGGACATCAGCACATGAAGGCATCCTCAACCACAAAGTATACAGCAGGAAGCCCAAGGGCAATTTGCAATTTGCAATTGTCAACTTGCAACTTGCAACTCACAACTCGCAAACTGCAAACACGAACCGCAGCCTTTTGCCACTATTTGCCCCTTCCTGAAAAGTATATACACATCAGGCCATTTGAGTCTGGTTTCTGTTTCCCCATGTACTACTTTACTTTTGTACAAGCAACATCGATTCATCTTCAATGTAAGACAAGATTAGCACTAGTATCACACCATCATTACTGCCTAGGTACGTCGAGTAATCAATCTTGGTGAATCTAGCTGCTACTTCACAACACTGCTTGCTATGATCTGTTATATGTATATACTTTGTCTGTTACGGACCGATCCCAGATACCAGGACCGGGATCGGGATCTCCACCATGATCTTGACCTTGATCATAATCTTGATCTTGACCATGATCTTGATCATGATCTTGACCTTGATCATGATCTTGACCTTGATCATGATCTTGACCTTGACCATAATCTAGACCTTGACCATAATCTCGATCTTGATCGGGATCATTATCGGGAATGCCCAAAACATCAATATATATAGGCAACCAATTTACCCTCATTGTACATTCCCTCCTTTGTAATTTCCATTCTTCTCTTCAAGAAGAATTATCATATGTTACACTCTTAACATATTGCCACCTACCAACACTACACTATCCACCAACCCTCAGCAACGGTGCTCTCGTCAAGCACTTCACGGTTAGACATAAGGATTAGTCAACCAAGACTTCTAGCTGAGTTCTATCTGCCTTAGCACAATTTCTACTGACGCTTTGGTCCGCATAACAACAGTTCCTGTTACTGTCGGACACCTCCGTAACATTGTCCGTTATTACACTATTACCCTTGAACCTAGCTATTAGGGAGGACAACTGACAGTCTATGCGGGGCTAGGTCTAAGGGTAATGGTTCAATAACGGATGAAGTATATACATATAATGAGCCTACTATAATAAGCACCTATGGGAGATGTAAAAGTAGACCCCTGTTGTTACGGGATCATCACGTGAGTTGACTACCGACACATGGACTCGATCCACGGACATCAGCATACACCTAAGTCCGGCTTGACGAGGCGAATCCGATTCCCTCGGAACAGATTCGGTCGCCCCTACCATTCACCGAAACAACAATACATCCCCGGTACATGTCACACACAGGTACAAGGACCTCGAGGTACACGACAACCTTACTCAGGACCTTGACAACCTTACTCGACGTACCTAGGGACAAATGAGAACTCAAACTCGCCTCCTCTACCGAATCCGGTTGCTCTCGACAGGATTCGTCTGTTCGCCATCTCGTTCTTCCAGTTTCGCCATCTCTTGCCATTCTTTTCTCTTGGGTCTTTCCAGTGTTCGCCAGCCTCGTCTCCGTACTCGTCTCCGTATAAATAGCTAGGGGAACTTGACCGAATTCGATAGAGGACGCTCTGTAATAGTAATAGGTCAAGTTCCAATATCACATTCAATACACGCCTATCTGACTTGTTACAACATCTTCAAGACGTGTTGCGGAGAGGTTACAACCCAAGGACGTCGCTAAGTATCTACGCTTCATCGTTTTACCTTAGACCGAATCCGGTACCTCACACCGAGTGATCACCTTCCTTATCCATATATCTCTGGATTCGTATCCCGTATCCGAACCCGCTTCATCTAAGCGGACTCGCGACATTCTCCTGACTACCTGCAATTTACCTATAAGCACCCTACGCCTTACGACCTAGGACCTATCTCGATTAGCGACTTCCGCCGTAACAGCATATCGGAACTTCTTTTATCGCACCTGGTTAGGACAATGTCAGTCTATTCCGAAAACCACGACCTACCCCAAGAGGAAGAACAGCGGTTCTCTCTAGCCAGGACCGGCTCAATCGAAACGAACCCGGCTCTAGGGAAACGGAATCTGAACGTATTGGTCGTCTCGAAGAACAAATCCTGGAACTCATGCAGACGATCAGGAAACAAAGAGACGAACTCGCTACACGAGAAGAGATTCCGGCTCCCCTTCCTCGAAGGCAGTTCAACATTTACCCATCCAGCCCTTCATCTCTAGCGGGAACTACTATCGACCCTAGAGAACTTCACCAACCTTCGGTGGCTCGGTCCAGGGATCCCTATACTCCTATGAGGGACGTTCCCCTTCGGGAGAACGAAGCGGATCTGCTTGCCAAACGGACCAAGGAACCGAAGCCGGCTGATCCACCCACGTTCAAGGGAGACACCAAGGAGTTAGACGAATTCATCGTCAAACTCAACATGGTCTTCCGACAATTACCTGGACGCTACCCCACTGGAGGATCCAAGATCGATTTCGCTATCGGATTTCTTGGAGGACGAGTCTTTAAAACGGTTTCATCTTATCTCCAGTTGGATGAAGCGGACCAACCCCTTTTCCTACACAACTATGATGCCTTCAAGAGATTCTTGAAGCATAACTTTGGGGGCTCCAACGAGAAAGCTGCAGCCCAAGCCGCTTTAGACAAGTTGGTTCAAACCGGATCCGCTTCGTCTTACTTCTCCGAATTCACCCAGTACAGTCCCTTGTGTGGCTTTAACGATGAAGCTCTTATCGCCGCAGCCAAGAAAGGACTGAAGGCCAAGGTGGTGGAACGTCTCGGGATCCTGAACAAAAGGATGGAGTTCGCAGACTTCAACGAGTTCAGGAACGAAGCTGTCGACACGGACAATAGGCTGCACTGTTGTGAAGTAACAACTAGATCCACCAAGGTTGGTTACTTGATGTACCTAGGCAATAGTAATGATGTTTTACTAGTGCTGATCTTGTCTTGTTGTGAAGATGAATCAATGTTGCTTGCATAAAAGTAAAAGAAGTACATGAGGGGGAAAGTGTGAAGTAAGCCGACTCTCATGTGGGAGAGGAGCAAATCTCACGACTGAATTTATAACCGGATACGTCGCAGTTGTCTCAACACTGTCCTATTTGGTGATCCTTGATATCCTTTGCTTGTTATGCAACAAGGGTAGCTAGTCCTTGTTGATGTTGAAAAGGTGAAGGTGGAAAGGGAAAGGGTGAAAGGGATGAAGTGAAAGGTAAAGGTAATGTGAATGAATCTAGTGATAAGGGGTCTGAGTCCTCATGAAAGAGAAAGGGGATGACCCATTCCTCCCTCTGGGGACTCCTATATATATGTACAATCTGAGGAAATAGCATGTACCAGAACATGTGACTGTAGTCGCAAATGTGTGACTGTAGTCGCAAATGTGTGACTGTAGACGCGAATATGTGACTGTAGTCGCAAAGATGCGTCTCAGGTCGCACAAATGTGACTGCAGACGCAGATGCGTGACTGTGGTCGCAGACTTGTGTTTCTGGTCACAAGTCGTGATTGCAGTCGCACCTTTACATCACCCCCGTCCTATTTCGAGCTCTGTCCCAGAGGTCAAGCAGAAAACGAATGGGAATAACATATTACAACTCAATCCAAAGATAAGCAGGAGTAGAGCGACGCATTTGAACCGGCTGTTGCGCGCGAACCGCTTGTGGTGCCGCGTTATCAAAGGTGTCGTTCGGAGTTTCTTTCATTGCCCGTCTTTCTCCATGTTGAATTTCTGAGTTATCATCATTGATGAAGGAGTACCAGTCGAAATGAGAAATGTTGGATTGCTCGGGACTGGGAGGTGCTAGCGAGGTAATTCTTTTGCGAGGTGATGGGGGGATTTGAATCAGGCTGTCCGACACCGGTTTCGTATGGCTCGGACCAGCGGTTGCGTTGTGATGGCTGTTTTGAAAGAATCCTGGGTGTCGAATTTGCAGTTGACCAAGTTCAAATAGCCGGTGTGAAAATGGCGATAGAGCCGTGATTCTTTTGCGGGTCAGAGTTTCTCTTGAAGAAACTCGTGTAGAGTCTTGTTTTACGACGTTAGCTCCAGCGGTTGTCAAGCTACGCCTGTTCCGAAGTGGCATATAGATCCTGCTGTATTCCTGACTGTAGGGAGATAAAGGGGGAGTTGGTGAATGGGAAGAAAGATTTGTTGATATCTGGTGAACCAGAGGTGCTAGCGGGTCGATTCTTGCGTCCTTCCGAGCTTTTTCAACAGATTGACCTGTCTGCGAAAGAGATCTCCGGTTTCCGTCGTCCTGAGCCGTAGTAATCACCGCTTCCAGTCCCTGCATCCCAGGGACCCATTCATCCGCCATCTGCTTCGATTCCAGCAGCTCCAAAGCAGCTCCCTGATCCCCTGGCAACTGATTCCACACCCCCTTGTTCGATTCTGGACCCCTGGCAGCCAGGAGAGACAGCAAAAAGGGGGCAGAAATCGAATGCCCTGCCCAATACTCCTCTAATTTCTCCTTCTTGTTGCTCAAGAACTTCATTTCTCCTTCTGTAAGCCTCATAGCCTTGTCTATTTCGTCTCCTGCACCCTTTACAAGCACCCTGTATCGAAGTTGGGGCCTGGGATCCTTCTTAGACCTTCCCCTCTTCTCTGAATCATGTTTGGAGATGGTTGTGATAGTGGGAAGGGGACTCTGGAGAGGTTTGAGTGTATACCGCTGCCACGGGTGCTGTAGGGACGGTATCGAGTTGATTCGACAGCGGGAGAGGTGGTGCGGATGTACTGCATCGTGTCGCAAAGGTATTTCTGGGATTGCTTGTGAATTGAGCGAGTAGTGAAGGGATGTAGATGTAGTCTGAATAGGTAAAATGATCCAGGATAGTTCGGAATTTGGGTGTTTGAGGTAGGGCTTATATCTCTAGAACCGTCCGTGCGATCCGTACGAAACAAAAGCGAGCACAACGATGTACGATTTTAAGCCAGGATTGTCTTTTTGTTTGGGACAAAAGACCCAGGGAAGGCCGAGTAAACCCCTGTTTGAGATCGATTCACTAACCCCTAGATGTGGCTATGGTGTTTCGAATTTGAGTGGCAGCGTCGAATTCTTTGTGTGTACCAGACGTTCTATTGTTCCTCGTTCATATGTGGCCAGTTTCGCGCGGATCCGGCCAGTGGTTGTAGAGAAAATGCGTAATTGAAAATTCAGAGATTTTGGGAATTCCACTGATGAAGTGCTATGGTCCCCCTCAGATTTTGAGCGGTCTCACAGGTAGCATCATGGAGCTCAAAACCTTTCCATTTGACAAGGTATTGTATCTTGTTTCTTGATTTGCGTTGTGCAAGAATATGCTCAATTTCCCATTCAGGTTGGTTGTTGACCAAGATAGGGGAAGGTATATCTGCCTTGTCTTCCGGTGTGATAGGTGGATAGTACGCTTTCAAGTACTCCAGGTTGATGGTAGGATGAGCTTTCATATGTTCAGGAAGATCCAGCTGGTACGTTGTGTGGGTGACCTTGGCCATGATGGTAACTGGACCAACCCAGCGGTTCCTCAGCTTCTTCGATCCGGGGGTTTGTAAGAAGGGAGGGTGTATGTACTTGGTATTAAGCAGTACTTTGTCACCTTCCTTGAACGGTTGAGGGCTTTTCCGTCCCTTGTTATAGTTCAAAGCCTGAGTCTGTTGGGCCACCTGAAACTGCCCCTGAGCAATAGCCATGGTTGTTGCCTGCTGCTCAATAAACTCCTCGACTCCCTGCACCTGCATCGCATTGGTATCAGTGATCTGATGAGGTTGTCGTGGGTGATAGCCAAGGTCCAATTCGAACGGAGTGTATCCAGTGGCCGGGTGCACTGAGCTGTTATAAGCAAATTCCAGTGCAGGTAATTGCATGGCCCAGTTGTCTTGTTTCTGGTTTATGGAGTGTCGAAGCATGTCCTTCACGGTGCGGACCATGACTTCAGACTGTCCGTCTGTTTGTGGGTGGTATGCTGAGGACATGGCAAGCTTGGTGCCAATCCGGCTGAACAAGGTTGTCCAGAATAGAGAGGTGAATTTGGCATCTCTGTCCAAGATTATGGTTGATGGAAGTCCATGAAGTCGGACTATGTTGTCCCAGAATCTATTTGCTGTGTCCGTGGCCTTGTCGGTAGTATGGCTAGCAATGAAGTGGGTTCGTTTAGATAGTTTATCAACCACAACGGTGATTTGATTGAAGTGGCTGGACTCCTGGAATGGTCCAGCAAAATCCATTGTGACAGTGTGCCATCGTTGAAGTGGTGTGTCCAGTGGTTGTAGGAGACCTTGTGGTCCTGCAGAAGGGTTCTTGTTCTGTTGACAAGAAGAGCAGGATCGAATGTAGCTCTTGATATCTTGGCCCATACGAGGCCAGTAGTATGTCCTAGAGATGGAGCTGTATGTTTTGTTGTATCCAAGATGTCCTGCAGACACTGCATTGTGGAAGTCATGCAAGATGTCTAGCCTGACTCTTTCATGATCCGGGATACAGGTTCTCCAGTGGTCATTGGAGGGATCCTGGTAATAGAGGATACCATCCTTCACGTTGAAGCGTTTGACGTGAGGAGGAGGGACCTCGAGCTGGACTGAAGCCTAAATCTGCCCAAAGTCTTTATCTTGCAGGTATCCGGATCTGATGCTGTCGTATAAGGTGTTGTCCACCTTCGCAACCGATATATGATTGCAGATAGCTAGGTGGTTTGTCTCTGCAAGGGGTGCATGAGACAGAGGGTCGGCATTCTCATGGACTCGTCCCGCTCGGTAACGAATAGTCATGTGAGGGCGGTAGGGTTGAAGTTCCATGGACCACCGCACAAGTCTCTTGTTCGATCCATTGAAGTCCAATAGCCATTGCAAGGCAGAGTGATCGGTGATGATGGTGAATGTGCATCCATCCAAATAGGCATGTAGCTTCTTCACAGCCCAAATGATTGCGAGACACTCCATCTCTGTGGATGTGTAGCTCTTCTCTGCAGGGTTGAGAGTCCTTGAGAGGTAGATGATTGGATGTTCGTGGTTGTGTTCATCCAGTTGGGCCAAGACGGCTACAGTTGACGCGTCTGTGTAGAGTAGGAATGGTTTGTTGTAATTGGGATGAGCAAGAGTTGGGCTTGTTGTGAGAGCCTCCTGGAGCTGTTGCACCGCTTGCTGTGCCGCCTCGTCCCACTCCCAAGCTTGTTCCTTCTTGAGCAGTTTGTAAAGTGGAGCTGCCTTCTGTGCAAAGTCTTTGACAAACTTCCGATAGTATACTGCAAGGCCAAGGAAGCGTTGAAGGGCCTTGGTATTGGTGGGTGTTGGAAACTCCTTGACTGCCTTGATCTTCTCGGAGGTTGTTCCAATTCCTAGGTTGCTAATGGAATGACCAAGGGCATGGACGGTCTGGTATCCCACATGGCACTTCTTGGGAGATAGGGTGATTCCAGATTTGGTGACCAGTTGGAGGACCTTGTTGACGTCTTGCAAGTGCTTCTCAAAGTCATCTGAATAGACAATGATGTCGTCAATGTAGACTAGAGCGATTTGCCATTTGTATCGTCCAAGCATCCGGTTGGTGAGTCGTTGAAATACTGATGGTCCAGTCTTGAGTCCAAAAGGCATCCTCTTGAATTGATGAAGACCCCTATGAGTACGAAAGGCGGTCTTAGGTTGATCCTCCTTGACAATATCCACCTGATGGAATCCTTTGTTTGCGTCAAAGGTAGTGAAATATTGTTTTCCTGCAAACTGGCTGAGAATATCATCGATCCTGGGAATCGGATATTGATCCGCTCTGAGGACTTCGTTGATTTTTCGATAGTCGATACAGAACCGATCTTTCCCTTTTTGGCGGACCAGAACAACTGGGGATGCCCAAGGAGAGTCAGACTCCTCGATAACATCGTCAGCTATGAGTTCTGCCAGGGTGTCGTCGATGATTTTCCTTCCAGCAGGAGAAGCGTGGTAAGGGGGAGATGAGATGGGTTTGGAGTCACCAGTCTCTAAGGTCATTGTAACCATGTCGGTTTGTCCAAGCTTCTTTGAGCCAAAGGCGAAGGCAAGAAGGTTGTCTTGAATGACCTGTCTCATCCTTTCTTGCTCATCTCTTGGTAACTCTGGGTTGATGTCCATGGCTTCAAGATGAGGCTGAAATTCAGAAAGGAGCTCAGAGGTGATGACATTGTTGACATGGGCAAAGGTAACTTCCTTGCTGGCTTTTGGGTCCTTCTTGAGAGGAATGAGTTTCCCAATAAGAGATCCGGCAGGGATGCTCATGGGTCGTTGTCCAGTGTTTAAAGCTTGCGTTTGGTAAACCTTATTTGAATGGTTCCCAACGGTTCTGGCAATGACAAGATTTGTCGAGGCAAAGGTTGGATCCAAGCAATACTCTCCTGAGACCGATTGAGATGGGCTATCCAGTTCCAGAATGATAGTCTGTTGATGCCCAGGCAAGATATGGTAGGCCTCTTTGGCTCGCAATACTGCAAACTTGGCAGGAGAGGCTGAAGTACGTAAGGGTACCTTGCCAGATTGTCCTCGTAAGACCAAGGAGTTGTCTTCAAGATTGACAATTGCTCCATGGTGGTCCAAGAAATCTGTCCCAATGATGACTTTGGAAGCCATGTTGGGGGCAAGGAAGAAAGCGATAGGTAGACTGATAAAGTTGCCATTGGTATCCTTGAAGTGTAGATCCGTCTGGATGTATCCCAATGCGGTGGATTCACCGAGTCCTTTGATTTGGAATGCAGACCCATAGTTGACCTTGATATTGGGGAATCTGGCCTTGACATAGGCAGTATCCATAAGCGAGATGGATGCACCTGTATCAATGCAAACCTGGTGTAGAGGACCATCAGGCTTGTTGATAGCACAATCGGCAAAGGTTGGAGTTTTGCTTTCATGTAACTGGTGTAATCCAGGAGGAGAAGGTTTCTTTTGAGGGATAGGCTCAGAAGGATGGAAGTCTTCCGCAAAGGCATCATCTTCATCAAGCTCCTGGTCCTCTAGTTGGAATCTGACTTGTTTGAGAACATTGTTGGCCTCCCTGGTCTGCCACTTCCTGTTGTCAGAGTATGTGTTGTTGGGATAAGACGAAGTACGATTGGTGTTGGTAGGCCTGCGAGAGACTAATTGAGGGCAGTCTCGCTTCCAATGGTTGCCTTTGCAGATTGGACAGGGACTGGGAGGTTTGGTCTCTGAGGTGTTGACCTGAGGCAAACGAGGGGGATAAGTGACTCGTTGAGGGGCAACATAGTTGTTGGTAGTCCTGGTCGTCTTCTGTATTCCGGGTCGTAGGCCAGGTTCAAGGTCGATCAAGATCCTTCTGAATTCCTCCAAGGTAGTAAGTGGCTTGATGTTGGCCTTGATGATAGGCTTCAAGGTCTGGGGGATGCCTTCCAGCATGTCTTCAATCAAATCAATTTCAGAGGTGCCAACGGGGTAGACATAGTGTTGCAACTTCTGTTTATCTTGGAAGTAGTCACCGAGAGACTCGTTGAGACGTAGAGTCCTGTAAAGACATTGTCGTCTAAGAGCACTCCTGTGATTGGGTAAGTAGAAAGCATTCCTGAGAGCTTCCTTCCAGTCCTTCCAGAAGTTTAAAGTGGCTCTCTTTTCGGTACCAAGCTGGGTAAACCAAGTCAAAGCCTTGTCTTGAAGGATCATAGGAAGAAGCCTGAGTAGATCGATGTCGGAGGTGCCAGAGTATTCATGGATGGCATCAACCTTTTCAATCCATTGGTCAATGTCCTCGTTGTCCTTGCCATAGAACTTGAGCAAGTCTGAAGCCTTGATCT